TTACATTTCTATTATTTCAAGAAATTTACTAATTTCCTGTTTACTCAAGCCTTACAAATCTATACCAAATTAGCCTAAAGACAAGGTATTTTATATTCATTTCTATTTTCGTCATGTGTCTACCAAAGCTATTAGAACCATCCTGTACCTCTGAATGCCTGATTACAAGAAGACACAAGAAGACTTTAAAACTTTTGGAAATTTACAGAGCTATGATTTTTGAACCTGGTTGAAAGAAAACATCATCCGAATTGTTGCACATCCACATTTTTGCCAAAGATTCACCCTACAAATGCTTAAGTTGATAGGTGGCCTGATTTTTTTCCATATTATATTATCATGGTAAACTAAAAATGAAATATGTTTAAGGAAGTAGTATTTCTGCTTTTCATCCAAATTGATTGGGGGAAGGCTATGGTAGAACCCATCTTTTCAAATATTGTTTATTCAGCCAAGTAGACTTTTCTTCTCTCCCTTCACCATTGCACACCCTTTTCCTCCTTTGATTTTAGACACTCTCCCATGCCAAGCTCCTTTTGATCTCCCCAGTCATAACCTGACCTAAAAAAAGGAGTTGGCCATTGGGCATGAAAAAGCAAGTGCTAAAAATACCCAAAGGTAAAGCAAAGTACCTCAATTTTTCTACTTGCTTCACCTGAAAGTGCTTCTCAGCTTGCCTCATATAAGCTCCATTCCATTTAAATGACATTTTTCAGTTACAACTTGTACTAATATATTGTCTCTCTTTCCTTATTCATCACCCAAATGTCTGTTTAAGGGCTAGATATGTGGGTACCAAGCTCTAAATTTGTTTGTCCCCTGCCTTTGAGAATAATGTGCTACATAGAACAGATACTGGCCTTAGGGAAGTAAAAGCTCCTGGTAAGAAATCATGTGCCCTTTCTATGTGACAACTCCAAATGCCCAGGAATTCTTATATTATAGAGTGACTTACTTCCAACCTTTTAATTAGAGGCTATAAGGGCTTCTAATTAGTCTTATTTGCTATAAGCACCCTGGAATCGCCCAGGTAGGCACTGAATTTTTTAATTTTAATTACATAAGCAAAGTGCACCTTTGCAGTATGAAATTAGACCAATTTTAGTTTAAGACTTTGCAGATTAAAGCTTCCTGGTTGGAAAAAGCCAGTTTTTCTAGACCCTTTATCTACTGGAGGAAGCACATAAGAAAAGAATATGGTATGGGTCTTTTCTACCAAGACTTTCCATGACAACCCCTCAGTATTTGGGGTTTTGTTTGTTTGTTTGGAATTTCTGAAAGGTCTTTTCCCTTCTACATTTCAAGTATTGTTTTCTTTCTCTCTCATCTAATTGCTAAACATTTTCTAAAATTCACACACACACACACACACACACACACACACACACCCGCACGCATGCACGCATGCACCACCACCACCACCACCTAAAAGAAAACGGGAGTTTTGTAAGACAAAGCTTGACATTTAGAGAAAACAAAGACTTTCTGCCTTTGTAAATGGAATCAAGTGTGTATGAACTATAACTCTGCAGAGGTTATGAATTCATCCTTTACAAACAATAATGAGCATTTAGCCATGTAATAAATGAAATGCTATCACTAAGTTCTGTTATATTATTGCACAGTTACATCTTGCTAAAGGACCACTCCTCACTTCTCACTGATGCAGATGAAAAATTGACAGCAGTGTGTTTGCTCCAACAATGAGAATTTTCAGATGTGTGCATTCAACAGGAAAATAGCTCCCCATATCATCTTCTCCCTAATGAGCCACAGTGATTATCTTATTCACCATGGGAATATCATTCTCTCGCCTATAACCAGAACCTGCATAGAGACTGTTAGTGACTAGATGGAGCACAGGCTCCCAGAGGACTTAGGAGCTAATTACTACTCACCATGGGAATATCATTCTCTCGCCTATAACCAGAACCTGGATAGAGACTGTTAGTGACTAGATGGAGCACAGGCTCCCAGAGGACTTAGGAGCTAATTACTAAATAAAACAATGTAGAACAAAGCAACCTAAATGAATTAGTCATTCAGCCAAATTAATCATTTTTTCCCTGTTAGATGGCAAGATCTAGTTTCTTTCATTAAAAAGAATTGTCTGCCATAAGATTGAATAAAACCATGTTCTGAAGCCAAAGATTAGAAAGAGACATAGAAAATTGAAGAAGAATCTAAAGGATGGTGGTCCACTCCATATCCCAAAGTCAAGAAGTGGCAGCTAGTCTCCATTTGAGGGTAGAGTCTTAACTTTTCAGAGCAAGAAAAGACCTCAGAAACTACAGCACAATGCCTCTTTGTACAGATGAAAAACTCAGGCCTAGATGAGTTGGGAGAGTTTTGTTGTGGCAGAGTTGAGACAGATCTCAGCTTTTCTGCTTCCCATCCAATGCCCTTCAACTCCATACTATAATTATTGTTTATCACAAATATTAAGTTGGAGTTTTATAAGCATATTACTGGAGTTACATCTATTAATTCTGTGATTCCAGCCACATTTCAAACACATAACTTTATGTAATTAGACCACCATAAAGAAAGTAATCAATCAAACTAGTAATAAACTAGAAATAAGAAATTGATCTACGCACTAATATGCCTGGAATCCACAGCATACAGCAATGTAATCCCAATCTAATGGTTCAATCAAGTAGCTAATTTGACAGATTTTTTTTTTCACTCAGATGGTTGGTTGTTTGGTAGAATTAATGGACTCCTTGGGTTATTTTGGTAACTCAAAAGAACTAAGACACAACTGAAAGCCATGTCCACAGTAAGACATCTGGGCTTCCTGCTAAGAAAAGTTATACTCAAAAAACAATTACTGGTGGCAATTATAGCAACCCTAAACCAGAAAGTGCTAAACTGGGAAGTCAAAAACCAAGTCGTACACGTGTGACAGAAGGGGAAGAGGATTGAGATTGCACTGACAGTATGTATGATTATGATATGCAAAGAACCATTTGGAAGATTTCTGGTCATAAGAGAAGTAGCAAATGAAGTGGATGTAACCATACGCAATTTTCATAGGATCACCAGTGGGGAAATAGTATTACAATGGTAGTAAAAGAGCAATCACAACTACACTCACAATTTTAGGAAAAAATAAAGATAAATCCAGAACTTGAAGGCAGCAAAAATGTCATTATTTAGGATATACGTTCCTGTGAGCAGTAACCTTGCAAAATAGAGCTTTTCCAAGAAGAATATTTGACAAGGTAAGCCTTTCGGGACGCCATATGATATTCAAGAAGGCAAACTCATCCATGAGACCAAAGTGATGAAAGATTAGAAATTGAGGTTTTGTGTTAAAGGAATGTTTGACATGCTGGAGATTATTATCTAACTAGTTATGTGCTCATTTTTAAATCCATCCCTATGTTTAGCTGCCNTTTCACTCAGATGGTTGGTTGTTTGGTAGAATTAATGGACTCCTTGGGTTATTTTGGTAACTCAAAAGAACTAAGACACAACTGAAAGCCATGTCCACAGTAAGACATCTGGGCTTCCTGCTAAGAAAAGTTATACTCAAAAAACAATTACTGGTGGCAATTATAGCAACCCTAAACCAGAAAGTGCTAAACTGGGAAGTCAAAAACCAAGTCGTACACGTGTGACAGAAGGGGAAGAGGATTGAGATTGCACTGACAGTATGTATGATTATGATATGCAAAGAACCATTTGGAAGATTTCTGGTCATAAGAGAAGTAGCAAATGAAGTGGATGTAACCATACGCAATTTTCATAGGATCACCAGTGGGGAAATAGTATTACAATGGTAGTAAAAGAGCAATCACAACTACACTCACAATTTTAGGAAAAAATAAAGATAAATCCAGAACTTGAAGGCAGCAAAAATGTCATTATTTAGGATATACGTTCCTGTGAGCAGTAACCTTGCAAAATAGAGCTTTTCCAAGAAGAATATTTGACAAGGTAAGCCTTTCGGGACGCCATATGATATTCAAGAAGGCAAACTCATCCATGAGACCAAAGTGATGAAAGATTAGAAATTGAGGTTTTGTGTTAAAGGAATGTTTGACATGCTGGAGATTATTATCTAACTAGTTATGTGCTCATTTTTAAATCCCATGTTGGAGATTATTATCTAACTAGTTATGTGCTCATTTTTAAATCCATCCCTATGTTTAGCTGCCAGAATGCAAATTATGCACTCTGTCTCATTAGAGAGAACCACAGGTCACCAGCTATTCTCCTAAGAGTCCCTGAGTAGGCTGCCCAAGTACAAATAAGGAAAGTCAACAACAAATGTTCATTTCAAGCACTGTTACAAACAGAAATGAAAAAAGAAGGTCAGGAAAACTGAGTTTCTTACAAAGGAAGTTAGGCAATTTGAGAGGAAAAAAAAAAAACAGAATGGAGAGGTCGCGAAAACCAAACACAAGGTAAAACACATGCCTGACAGTTAGTTCTCTCTGTGGGTTGCTGACTTCTGCCTGGTCTCAAGAGG